TCTGACTAAGATAGATGTATTGAGTTCATTCTGTTATATAGAGTTTATGCTCGTAAGATTGTTTCAACTTTAAATGAACTTTGAACTTTGATTGATGACGTCAATCAACGCGGGGGAGTGTGTTGAAAACTGGGACCGAGCTTGTCACGTGACTTACACGATTTGACCCCCCTCGAACACTGAACTGAAAAGGGAACGAATGCAAAACTAATGCGAAGTCTTTGTTCTTGAATTGTATTCTGGAGTTTTTTTGTCTTTGAATAGAGTCTTTATCTACGAAAGTGTCGTTTGAATACGTTTTCTACAACGGCAAAATGTAATCGGTCGAGATGCCGGTCTAGATGGGAAAATCTAGACCACGGTCAATATCGATTTCAGCCGATCAAATTCGTGAATTCGGTAGTTCCCAGTCCTTGTGAGACACAGCCATATAATGAATTACAATATTTCCAAACACCTGAAAGTTTGTCAAAGATACTCCTCTGCGCGTTTTCAACTCTCTTCTCCAGGAAATGCGGTAAACTACAGTCGTCCAAGTCAAGTTTGATACATTACATAACATTCGACGTACCACATTCGGATCCACCGTGAATTACGTCCTTTTAGCATCTTTGACCAACTTTCACTCTAGTATGTCCTGAAGACGTGGGACAAAAATCCTACGTGACAAGACCCTCGTTTATTTGAGATATTTACGGTTTATTCCTCTATATTTCAGGGTAAATATAAGATTAAAGCGGATCTAAGAGATAAAGGAAACAACAGACGTGTTTCATGCCTGGAAGCGGAAGTGGAGTTACGAAGCTGAAAAATATTCTTGTAAAGAGAGAAATACAATAAAAAGCATGAAAAGCTTCTGTTTGTGTTTTAGTCGGAGACTGATCAGCTAGTTGATTTCATCAGTTTCAGGCCTCGTCCCGGTGAACTAGGCCTGTCGCAGTTAATATTGCGCTCGACAACTTTTGAGCAAGAGTTGGCGTTTGCAGCAACTTTCTGTGGTTCTAGCAACCTCGAGCAATTTAACGCAAGTTTCGCCTTTCTGAACAACTTTTGAACAAAATAAAGGTAATTAGAACACATATCAGGCACGAAAAAGCCAATTTATGCGAATTCCTTCGATGTTTATCGTCCTTTTGAAGTTTGAAGTTTTAACTTCCCGCGTATTGTTCGGCAAGACGTAAAATGAACCATGCGTTTGGGTCCGTTTGTCACGGAGTATCCTTAAATTTTGTCCATATTTGTGAACAGCACTTTTAAAGCTAAGATACAAGCTTTTTTTTTTTTACCAATGTTAGCAACTATCGTGAAGAACGAAAAAGAAATTAAGCCATTAATGAATGTTTATATGAAATATCATACATTTAGGTAACAGCTTTTTGGACCTTTTGCAGTTTTTAGCAACTTTTTGGGCATTCCGGTGAGCAACGTTCCAGAATTTTACGCGAGCACAATCGGGGCAGGCTTAGTTCAAACTGCACCGGAGAAATTTGAAGACGGGGGTTTCATTCTGAAATCGCATCAAATGTTTTCCGTCCACACTACGCCGGAGAATTTGAAAACGCAACAATCACCGTTCATTTTCGATTTGTGTTTGAGGAAAACTCGGACAGTGAAATCACATGATTACCGTGACGCCATCTTTTTCGAAAAGCTCCGTTTTCAAGATGTTTTCCGTCCATACGAAAACGAAAAGCCAGCGTTTTTAAATTCCTCCCGCTTGAAGAGCGTTTGCGAAAAGCTCCGTTTTCGTGACGGATTAGAATGAACGAGAGGCCTAACCGTAGAAATAAAGCTGCGTTGACAAATTTCTTCGCTGTAGTGTGGATAGGGCCTCAATGCCAGTGCGCACGTGGCGTGCATAATCTGTGCGAGACCAAAAGTATTCCAACCACACTTCGCTGGAGAAATTTAAGAACGCAACAATCACCGGTCATTTTGATTTTGCATTTGTGTTTGAGTAAAACTCGAGCAGGGGAATATTATGATAATCGTAACGTCATCGTTTTCGAAAAGTTTCGTTTTCAAACTGTTTTTGAAATTATTAACGGATTGGCATGAAGGAGAAACAAATAAACATTCCAAGAACAAGTTTTTTAGCTACTAGAAAATTTAGATTTGTTCGTTTTTCCTAGAAGAATTAATTCAACTTCTACTTCCAAGCAAATTTATTTGTTAGAAATGGGTGTCAGTAAAACGCGGACTCGGGTCGGAGTCGGGGTCGGGGTCTGGGTCTCTTTTTTATAATTCTTTTCTTTTTTTTCTTTAACTTTCTTGTATTTTTGTCGTTTTTCTTTTTTTTAACCCAAATTCCGATTTCTCGCGATTTACATCAGCAGTGCATCATTGCAATATTTTCGCTTATAAAGAAAATAAGATGCGGTGGAGCTCACTTTTTCACATCATCTCAAACAATCCGCGTCACATTTCAGCCAAGACAGTCGAATATAGAAGCTGCACAAATTTATTTTCTAGCTCAGCGCGCTGATTTCTGCAAAAAGGTCCATGAGTTAGTTGAGTTAGTGGAGAATTAAGAGATCTACCATTAGGTCAAATAAGGATTTGCCTCTAAAAGCCTCTAAAAGTAATTCGTCCCGAAAGCTTAGTATATACACTCGATGCAGCTCTATCCTGGCAGTTCCGTGAATTGACTACGGCATACTCTCGCAAGAAACGAAGCGAGGAAAAACAAATTTGTTTGCCTTGAACTAACAAATTCGTGAACTAGAATAAGAAAAACTTGCCATAAACACCCCCGCCGCCTTCCATGAGACCCTGAGAACGAGGTTGCCATAGATTGTTTAGACTGTCGCGCAAGGGAAAAAATAAATCAAAAACCATTCGATGGATGAAGTCAAGAAAATGCGATCTTATAACAGATAAATAAAGGAAAAAACTTCTACAAGTTTTAGGTCTGTGCGTTATCCCAAAATTTAGATATTTGTCTATAGGTTTCACCCAAATTTAAAGCTCAGTGTGGAGCCGCCATGTTGGCGAAGCTCTGTAGTACACCAATATGGCGGCCGGAAAATAGTGTAACCATCTGAAACTTATTTTGGTTATCTAGGCCACTGACCATATTTACTGCAAAAACGTACATTAACATAAAAACTTTTCCTAATACGTTTACTTCACAAAGAGCTAAAAATCACGAATTAAGTAGATATATATCGACAAACGCGATCGTAGCTCTATGTCACGCACCGCCATAAACCTGAAGTTCAAAATGCACTGGTTTCGAAACGAAGGACGTTATTGAGCTGAAACCTTGTCAACAATATACGTTTTGTACCTCTTATGCCTGATGAGGATAGAGACTCTGGTGACTGTTTAGTTTTGAATCTCAGAACTTTTTGACGTCTCGTCAAAACCATCTACACTAAGCTTTCGATACTTATTTTTATAGGCTTAAATAGTGGATCCCTTAATTCTCGACTTACTCATGGACTTCCATTGAAGAAATCGGCGCTGAGCTGGGAAAGAAATGTGTGCATCTTCTTATTTGGTTGTCTTGACTGTCTTGACTGAAATGTGAGGCGGGTTGTTTGCGGTGATGTCCCTAACAAATGAACTCCACTGGATTTCATTTTCTTTATATGCAAAGATATAGCAATGATTCACTACTGATACAAATCGCGAGAAATCGGAGTTTACGTTAAAACAAAAAAGAAAAGAACAAAAAGGACATTAAAAAAAAAAAAATTAAAGAAAGAAGGAAAAAAATTGTAAAAAAAGAGACCCGGCTCCGACCCCGAGTCCGCGTTTTACTAACACCCTTAAGAGAGTGCAAACCAGCTGGAAAACAATTCGAATTTACACACGCCGAACCCAACTGACAGTGTGGAGTTTTGTCGGTGGGACAATCAATATTATCATTAGCTCACCACCAAGTACAACCCAAGGAAAACCCAGTTCCCGTCTTTTAGGCTAGGTTTAGGTTAATCTCTTTAGCTGGCCATAGGTTTCCCGGTCAGCACAAAATCAGCTAGGGAATGGATATTTCAAAGAACAGATTCGTTGAATGCCCCTGAAGTGTGTCCGCAAAGTTGTTGAAACACAGCTGAAAATACTAATAAAATTTGAAGAATTCGGAAAAGCTGTGGTAGCATGAATCGTAGGCGTGTTGTGTTTCCACAACTGTTTTGGAGAAAAATCTTTTGACAATGCTTATTGTAGCAAGCAGGACGAGAGCAACTGGGACGAACTAAAAAGACGAGAGTAACTGGGACTAGCCCAAGTGATTATTATGGGATTAAGCAGAAGGATCCCACGAGGAAAAACAAGATAGTAAGAAACGAAAGTCGAGGAGAAACGTTTTGTTAACGTAGTTAAGTAGTTGTTTTCGCGTGATTAAAGTAGTGTGCAACATTATTACTATGTTGGATTACTAAGTTACTAAGGCGTGGGAGACATAATATTTCCTGATAACTCAATAGGAAGAATTGCATCGAAACTCTCGAATACTTCTTCTACTTTGTTTTGAATTTGAAAGCTACAGAGTGTAGTAAACTTTAAAAGAATATTCTTTAGTGATTACTTCTGGGAGCTGTCTGTTTGTCTACCTTGCTCAAACCACTCGATCTGTCAATGGAAACGACATTATTTTTCCGCTTTCATATTTGCGTTTTATTAAATATAGACACAAGGTGTGATTTCAAACAGAACATGGTGCTTTGTTCATTGGGACAAATATTAGTGTAACAAGTTTCCTCAGGTGGAAATAGCAATATCTACCGACGCATTCATTTGTTCATGTTTGTATTTCTAAGTTCCGTTATGTTGACATGCATGGTACAGAAATGTTTAAATAGCGTATGGGGCAGCGCAGTATTTCACCGTGCTTCTTTGGAAACAAAGTGACCATGGCCTTCAAACTGATCTTCGTCTTCGCAGTTATCGCGGTTTTTGCTGTTGATGCCCTGGACCTGAAACCGTGTGGTACGTAAGCCTTTTCCCTACTTTTGTTAAACGCTTGTAAGGAAGCGCAAAATCAAAAATTTCATCCAAAAGTGATAATTTTGTGATAGCATCGACGAAGTACTGTTTGGATTTTTTTTACATGTAAAAAAAGAAACCTAAATTAGTTTTCGTATTATTGCACTGAAGTTTCACGATTCAGTCCAACCTAATTCGTGCCAAAACATCCAACGATGTTCTATCCGATTCATTTCGAAGGTCAGAAGTGTATTGTTAAAACTCTAAAACATACCTCGATTTTGTAGAACAGTACTCGACATATGATAGGAACATAATAGAAAGTGAAGATTGCCGACTACAGGAGCCCATCACTAGAAGCGTGCAACTACCCCATGTTCCTGTCACGGCGTTTTCACAAACCGATCCAATTTTAGTTTGAATTTACCGAGAATTCATAGAAATAATTTGCCACCATGTTAATGATGCAAACTGACAAAGTTACGAGGACTCAGTCCGGGGACTGAGTGCCTTCTCTATATCAGTGGTACTAGAAAAATAGGCATTGCAGGTTAAAAATCTGAAGCTAGTACGTCTGGCTAAATAAAAGTGTAGCTACAACACGCGCACCTTTTTTTCTTAATTTACAAACAGTTTACAATAAATAATAAGTATCTACTTACTTAACAATATTCCTTTTTTGTTAACCTAACTGCTTCACACACACAGTTTAGAATATGAAGTACGTATATCTATTTACTTAACAATATATCTTTTGTTCACTAACCTACTTCGCTACTTCGCATAAATCTCTGGGTTACTGAGTTAATGTAAAAAAAAAAAAGAAAAGAAAGAAAAGTAAAGCAAAAAGACTAAAAATAAAGAGTTACAAAGGAAATCTATATATAGTCTTGAACTTTGTAATGTTGTCATTATGAAGAGCAATTTTCCGCTGTGTATTGATTTTTTCTCTTAGAAGCGTGAGAAAACTTCACCTTCTGTTATTCCCTAGCTAAAACTAAACAAATGTGGGTTATTTACTAAGAGTGAGGTCATGCAAGATTAGTACATTTTTAGCCAAGTGCTAGCGAGACCAACGGCTGATATCAGTGGTTATTCAGAGGCCTCGTCTTATTTTACTTAAAAAATCACTTTGTCTTCCGGCTCTTTATAGGGAGGAATAAACTAAAGGCCAGAAAATTGAGAATGCAAGGACGTACTCTCATGGGCGAATATTACGTCTCAGCGGGGTACTTAAATCCGGACAGATATGAACTCACTCCCGGCAATGGACGAAAAGTTAAGGGCAGGTAAGCACGTGTTGATGGTGAATTCCGGTCTGAGCCTGCTATTCAGTTATTTATATCTCTAATGAATGAACAAACGAACGGACTAACGAACGAACAAACCGTCGAACGAACAAACCGTCGAACGAACAAACGAGCGAATAAACGAACGAACAAAAGAACGAACGAATGAATAAATGAAGGAAGGAGGGAAGGAACGAAAAAAATTTAACGATTACTAAGTTTAAAATACTCATTTTAAAACTATTAGAATTTACAAATTGAACTAGCTAAATTTAAAAGTAAAATACTTTTTGGATCGAAATACGTCTACTTTGGAATCGTGACTTAAAAATAAAATTAATGATTCATTTATGTAAATCTACAGGTCTTAACTCTTTTGAACTCGCTCTGATTTATTTATCCCTTGATAATGGCGTCATGAAGTCGTCGAAAAGTCGAAACATTGTATCGTTAGTTTTACTTGTTTGTGAATTAATGATTCGAGAATTTTATCGCAGTGTCTAAAATGGAAGAAATCAATATTAGTTCTGGCACTAGCGGATTGAATGTAACTGCGATGTACAATCTTCTCAATGGCTTATGTTTTTTTTTTCTCTGCCTTTTAATAAGAATTTCCGGATGTGGTGGACTAAGGAAATGGGTGGGAGGCAACGTCAATTGCAAACGAGGAGGATGGCGCCGGTTCACACTTAAAACGTTCAAAGATGTAAGTGTGGTGACAAAATAGATCTCTGTTTGTTTTTAGAGTTTTTTCAAATCCTCCAATATTTGTTATATAATCGTTCAGTAAATAAGAGTTTACTGACGTATTAAATCAAAGAAGAGGACACTCATCGTTCTGAAAGGTAGCGCCTGTCAGTTACTGGGTGGCTCCTGCAGGAATGGCTGTTAATGGGTATGATTGAGACACTACGCACAACAACAAAAATCTAAAAAGAAAAATGATAATATATTTCGTACCACTCTAGCTCTGAAATAAACTGACAATTGGAACTTTCATAGCGTTTCTAGCCTGAGTATGCCAGACAGAATCAGTGTTTTGTCACGCTGGTAATTTCTCGATGGCGTAGAATGAGAGGCGAAAAGGTCAGTCACTCGTTTGTCTGAGATATTAACAGCTTATTGTATTTAACTATCCAGCGGCAGCGAATATCGTCCAAATAACGCGCGAAACGAGTACAAATATGTAAACAACAGCCTCCGTTTGGCGCGGAAATATGCTTGGATATTTGTCCTCAGACATCACCTGTTCCGGGAAGCGAACAGTTTCCCGAGAGCGTAGCTTGAGGAAAACTTTGAGCTTCGAGGAACAGGCAATGTCCAAGGACAAATATCCCAGCTTATTATCCAACTGCAGCCAATACCGTCCAAATAACAGTACAAATATTTAACAATTATTCCATGAGCGCGCGTTGGATATGAAATGGTAAATAGCCAACGAGGCCCGTAGGGCCGAGTTGGCTATAACCAATCTCATATCCAACAAGCGCGAATGGAATAATTGTTTTATTAAATTCGGT